AAGTAAGGCGGAAATTCCAAGCCCTACTTACGAATTTCCCCAAAGTAGGGCGGATCCGGAGTCAGGGTACCCCTGCCCCCCACGACTTCTGAGGGGGAGGGCGGGGTTCACTCCGTTCGGGAGCTCTCGAGCGAAGTGAACCCCACCCTACCCCCTCAGAGATCGTGGGGGGGTAGGGGTGGGGCTCGCATGTGGCCCCCTAAGCCATCTCAGAGCCTCAGGCCTTTCAGTCAGGTGTTTGAAGAGTTGGCCTCTCGGGTTAGCCCCCACGGCATCCAAGAAGGCCCGAGAGGCACCCGAGATAACCCAAGATATGCCAGAACGATCCAGGGGCTACAGAGGTCTCCTAAGCCTTTTTGAGCGTTTTTTGGAATGCTCTTGGGAGACGTTTCAATCGGTTTGGTCGGGCTTGTTTCCCGGAGTCCACCGCGGCAAGCGTCGGGGGACCCGAGAATGTTGGCAAATTGGTTGTGCGAGCTCTGAATGACCTTTACGCTCGGACACTCACATCTGTACGAGCCTTGGCGCAAATATACTACGTGCTTAAGGCACATTGGCTGATGAGATATGGACGACTGATATATCCTGACGCGCCTTTGCCATCTGCAACCGTGCGGCCGTACAGGGCAGCAAACGTGGTGGCGCGCGCGTGGGTGCACACATGCGTTTTTCTTCCCAAGGATCGCCACAGGGCGGCCTGAGCGCTGGTGCGGCACAATTGCTGGTGCGTGTGCGAATGGCCTGGAAAATGTGTTGTCCATGTGAAAAATCAGCCAGCAGATAACCTCGCTTGGTGACAATGGTGGATCACTTTGAAACTTGCGAAACGAGTATAATAACCTTGATAAGTTCATTCGAACAGCCAATGCATTGTGCCAGAAACTTGCATTGCCGACTCCTTGAAATGGAGTGGCCTTTGGCCCAATTCGCCACCATGACTGGGTCGTGGACCAGATGTCTCTGAGGGGTCTCTTGAGAGGCCTCTTTGGGGGCTTCTTGGAAGCCTCTTTGGAGCCTCTTGGGGGTGTTTGGGGGGCCTCTTGGCAACTTCCTGGCGGTTTCGGAGGCAATATTGGGGTTTAGGGCTCCAAGTGTCAGCTCGTGTTTCCTCGCTGCCTCTCTTGGGCGCTTGGTAGCCATCTTGCGGCGATGTTTGGGGCTTGGGGGCCTCTTGGGCCGTCTTGGACGCCTTTTTGTCAAAGGACCTCAGGACGCCCACTCCATGCCCAGAGGCACGGCGGCATACACACACAAACACACGCACACATACACACACGTATGATTACACATACTCACAGCAATAAACTCTACACATATGTAGACATGTGTGTATCCATATATATATATATATATGTTTAGAAGTTTAGGTAGGTGCACATGTGCTTACATATCTCTCTCTTTCTATATGTTTTATCTCTCTCTCTCTTTCTCGTTTTCCTTGTGTGTGTCTTGGCTTCCTCTTTCAATGCTGTAGCAGTTCCCTCTATCTGGCGATGTATCACAGATCACAGGTCGCCTACCTCTCCCGCCGTGTATCTTTACATCGCACATATCTCTCTTCATCTCTCTCTCTCTCTCTCCCTTCGTATGCGTATAGTGCACACGTGCCCTGCTTTCCTCCGCACGCTCGCTCGCTCCCGCGCCTGCCCCACGGCGCCGGAGGCTCTGCCCGAAGACGCGCGCTGGGCTCCTCGAGGGACGGCGGCATCGGGTCGCTCATGAGGCTGGCGGCGCTCAGGCAGCGCACGCCCCGCGCGGGGTGGGCGGGGAGGAGGAGGAGGGGGGAGGAGGAGGAGGAGGGAGGAGGAGGAGGAGGAGGAGGAGGAGGAGGAGGAGGAGGAGGAGGAGGAGGGGGAGGAGGAGGAGGAGGAGGAGGAGGCGGAGGCGGAGGCGGAGGAAGGAGTGGGAGGCCTGGCATCGCTCGGACGCGTGCATTTTTTCCTTCGGCGAGGGCCATCGGGGAACATCCTGGAGCATCGAGCGAAAAAAAAGCACGCGCGAAGCCAAAAAAACAGTGCACGGGAAACGGACGTGCGAGCGACGGCAAGAATGGGGGGGGGGGGGGGGCGATGCGGGGCTTTCCTTGATCCTGCCGGCAGGAGTGTCGGATGGGGGCGGGTTCTGGGGTGGAGGGGGGGAGGACGGGGGAGTGGGGGGGGCAAAGAGGGGAGCAGGAGGAGAGGAGGAGGAGGAGGAGGAGGAGGAGGAGGAGGAGGAGGAGGAGGAGGAGGAGGAGGAGGAGGAGGAGGAGGAGGAGGAGGAGGAGGAGGAGGAGGAGGAGGAGGAGGAGGAGGAGGAGGAGGAGGAGGAGGGAGGAGGAGGGGAGGGGAGGAGGGGAAAGGAGGGGAGGAGGAGGAGAGGAGGAGGAGGAGGGAGGAGGAGGAGGAGGAGGAGGAGGAGGAGGAGGAGGAGGAGGAGGGGGTAGGAGGATGTAGGAGGAGGAGGAGGAGGAGGAGGAGGAGGAGGAGGAGGAGGAGGAGGAGGAGGAGGAGGAGGAGGAGGAGGAGGAGGAGGAGGAGGAGTAGGAGGAGGAGGAGGAGGAGGAGGAGGAGGAGGAGGAGGAGGAGGAGGAGGAGGAGGAGGAGGAGAGGAGGAGGAGGACGAGGAGGACAGGAGGAGACGACGAGGAGGAGGACGAGGAGGAGGAGGAGGAGGAGGAGGAGGAGGAGGAGGGGAGGAGGAGGAGGGAGGAGGAGGAGGAGAAGGGAGGAGGAGGAGGAGGAGGAGGAGGAGGAGGAGGAGGAGGAGGAGGAGGGAGGAGGAGGAGAGGAGGAGGAGGAGGAGGAGGAGAGGAGGAGGAGGAGGAGGAGGAGGAGGAGGAGGAGGAGGAGGAGGAGGAGGAGGAGGCGGAGGAGGAGAGGAGGAGGAGGAGGAGGAGGAGGAGGAGAGGAGGAGGAGGAGGCGGACGAGGGAGGAGGAGGAGGAGGAGGAGGAGGAGGAAGGAGGAGGAGGGAGGAGTGAGGAGGAGGAGGAGGAGGAGGAGGAGGAGGAGGAGGAGGGAGGAGGAGGAGGAGGAGGAGGAGGAGGAGGAGGAGGAGGAGGAGGAGGAGGAGGAGGAGGAGGAGGAGGAGGAGGAGGAGGGGGAGGAGGAGGAGGAGGAGGCGGAGGAGGAGGCGGAGGAGGGAGTGGGAGAGGGAGGCAGGGGCAGGGGACCTGTTCGGGGCGGGGCGGACCCAGGGGGGGGGGGACCCCACGGAAAGAGAGGGCCCGAGGGAAGACGGGATCCGTGGGGGAGGAGATCCAGGGGAAGTGGTTCAGGGTTTACGAGGGGCGGCGGAGAGTGCCGGGGAGGGGCGGATCCAGGGCTCGCTGGGGGAGACATAGAGACAGCGAGAGAGAGAGAGAGAGGGAGAACAAAAAAACAACAGGAGAAACGACAGCACCGTGACATGCTCATGGACAACAACAGGTCCGGGTGTACATATAGATATACAGATAGATATAGGGAGATGGATCGATCGGTTGAGAGAGAGAGAGAGGGAGAGAGAGAGCGAGAGAGCGAGAGAAGGAAGGCGATCCAGGATCCTGGGAAGTGGGACGGTGGGGGCATGATGACACTGTGAAGCTGTTCCAGGGGGGTCGCTGCCCCCCCACTTCGCGCAGCCCTGCCTCCTGTGCCCGACCTCTTCCTCGATCGATGGGCCCGCCCCGGCGAGGTGTCGGCCGTCATTGATGGAGGTGGCGGTGCAGGCGGCGTGCCCCGGGGGGGAGGGGCACCTGCTTCTTCTCCTCGTCCTGGCTTCCCTGGCCCCGCGCATTTGAGCACGATGGCCCGCTCGCCAGACACTATCCAGTGCGGACGGCGGCCATGGCGGTGGACCCCGCGTGTACCCTGTTTCTTCCTCCCTCCTTCCGTCTCCCCTGTCTGTCGGGGGCGGCAAAGAGGGGGGGGATGACTAGAGCGGGGTGGATATCATGGGGTTTGTCCATGATATTTCCCCAGATTTCATGGTGCCTCTTCTTATTTCATTACGTCGCTGGCCCCTCCATGGGCCGCGCACATGCCGCCGTCCGTGATTTGCACCCCCCCCTTGTGGACTCCCCCCTCTTGGACGCCCCCGAGTCTAGATATTTGCTCCTCCCTTCCTCCTCCCGAACTTCCCAGCCGGAGATGGTTTCGGATTGCACGGGCCATCCCCTCTCACCATCTGGGTACGTACGCAGATTGGGGGGTATTTCCGTGGCAGGTGGTGCGGCGATAGCAGCCGCGCATTTTGGAGGGCATTCTGAGGAAGCGCCATTGGGAGCTTGTCCGCAGTCGAACATCGGATTCAGAAACCTCCTCCCGAAAAGCGAGGCCAGCGATTCTTAACCAAATTACTGGAAAGGTGGCCCAGTTTTTTGGTCGCGTTTGCCCTTCCAGCGATCACAACATGAATGGGTCCGGGCTTGGTTTAAGATGCTTCTGGGAAGTTGGCGCCCAGATTTCTTACATGATAAGTTGATTAATCGTAGCGAAGATGCCTACATCGAGTCACCGCCGCCTTCTGCCTTTAGGATACGCCTATGTTGCCAAATGTTTGGGGCAAAGTTTGGCCTATGCCTTCCCCCAGCCATTGTGGAAGACGTTTGGGGAACACGTGGGAGAGGAAGAGGAGGATGCGGAGAAGGACGAGGAGACCCCAGTGTCTTCTTGTCATTCTTGGGGCCTCCTGGGACCTTCCTGGGGGCCTCTGCCTCTTGGGGGCCTTTCGGGGGCTTCTTGGGGGCCTCTTTGGCAGTTTTGCGGCGCCCCTGGCCCGTCTGACACCGTCGGGTGCTGTCTCAAGAGCCCCCCTGGCTGTTATCTTACTACCATTATCCTAGAGCACTGCCAGCAGGCGGGGGCCAGCGAGAGCTGTCTGGGTAAAAGAAGCACGAATGGGCACAGGAGACGATGAGGGCCTCATGCATCTCACAGCCACTTATCTCACAGCACCGAGCGGGCCCTGATGTGCCGAACGTATCTTAATGTTTCTGAGCAGGCTGTTTCTGCAAACTCACCTCGGGGGGAGTCTCCCTCAGATCCCCCCCCCCCCGAGGTCCCGGTCGCACAAGAGCTCCATCTGAGACTGGAGCTCAAACTTCCATTCTCCGCACCCTCTGCCTGACAACGCACGCGAGATGTGTGTCGCGGTTGGGCAGGGCGAGGCGGGAAGCTGCGGCAGCCAGGACAAAAACATTCCCCACCACGTGGCCATGCTCCAGATAGGAAATCCCGATCCATGGAAGCAGCACAAAAAGCCGGAGAAATCACAGGCAAGACCATACCACGACATCCAGTACACCACGACGCGACGGCACACCGGAGAAAGGCGTCAACGAAGCGCTGGAGCTGCCGACGAGGCATGTACATCTGGTCGGAGAGGTACTCATGTCGATACCAAACTCGCCAATGGAAGCAATCCAGCCACAGGAAGGAGGCGAAACCAAGCTTCAACATCTCCAAGGCGAGAGCCGCTGTGAAGTCAGGAGTTCGCATTACTAGGCTCACCCCTCGCACGGATCGACCCAAGCGTCAGCCAAAAGATGACGTCACACAAGCTGTCACGAGTAGCACATTCCAGGAAGCAAGTACGGGCATCATGTACCCGCGAAATCCATTCCATTTTGTCCACCAGCCTGTGTTCTCGCCGAAGGTCTCGTCCGAGAAGAGGCCGCCCAAGTCGTCGGAGTCGTTGTTCCTCGCAAGGCTCGAGCGTCGAGACCTCGGGGCCTTAGTCTTGAGCAGCTCGGCCGCGACGTCCTTGGCGAGGCTCTCCCTGACTGCGTCTTCGAGAAGCTTGGGCAGGCTGCCACGTGGAGCGGACCGGCATCGAATGGCCCGCAACACCTCTGCCTGCAGGTCCCGCGCAGCTTGACTGCCGGCCTCCAGCGCTACCTGCGGCATCCTCGCACGGAACTGCGCGAGGGCAAGGGTCTTGGAGTAGCGCTGGACGCTCGAGAGGGCCTCCCACCGCCCGCGACGCCCGACCTGCTCCAGCGTGGCGCGACCGCGGGCCACGTCCTCGCTGGGGCCCGAGTGGCGGATGCCGTGCGGCGGAAGAGCCCAAGGCATACCCAGCGCGCGGCAGGCCTGGTGCCATAGCTTTCTGAACCGAACCTGGTCGGTGCCGAAAAGCCTCTCTTCCTTGCCCGTCTGGAAGTCGCGCAGGCCCAACGCCAGGTTGGCGACGACACCTCGTCGAATCACGGCGCCCTGGTTGGTGCCTGTCTTGACCTCCTCGCCGCGACTGGACATACCAAAGGCCAGCGCAACGCATTGTCTGTCCCAAACGACGTCGGCAATCTTCAACAGCTCCATGTCCTGCTCCCGGCCGTAGACATCGTACTGCGTGAGCGTCCAGACCCCCTCGAGGTAATGCCCGTGCTCGAACATGTAGATGACGATCGCGTAGATGGCCTCCTCCGGCAAAGGGCCGCCCTCGCTCGTACCTGCCAACTTCTGCCATTTCTTGAGGCTCCTCAGTGCGAGCGGCAGCCTGTTGCGCAACTCGGGCCAGCTTACCAGCAGGCCGAAAAGCACCACCGACCTGAGGGTAGCCCGCTTGCGTTCCCCGTAGCACCGGATGTCCATGCAGTCGGCCAGCGCGCGGTCCGCCTCGAGCTCGGACGTGAGCTGCCAGCCTCGCCTGATGCAGAACTCCAGGAACTGGTGCACCTTGGGGGCCCACTGAGCAGCCGTCGCATCGGCCACCGAGTGGGTCAGAAGGCGCGTGAAGCCCCCCGTCTCGAAGACCAGCATTCGGGTCCGTCGCGTAGTTGCCCCAGGCCGGCGGTCCCCTCTTGATCATCGGGGCCGAGCCCAACGGCGGCAGGGGCTCGCGACCAGCCGAAACGAGGTCGGACGAGGCCACGATGATCGCGATCAGCCACCAGCGCAGCCTGCGCATGCACAGCCCAGCGCCCGCAGCTCGCGCCCGAGGGACAGCCCCCCCACCGCGGGGAGCTCGGCCACCACGGCTCGGTCGCTGTGCGCCGGGACCGTCTTCGGCGCAGCCCGTGGGTGCCGCCCCGTTTTTGGGAGGTTTCCTCCCTTCCCTGCCTTCACGGCCACGTCATTCGCATTCGCATTTGGCAGACTGGCAGGGCAGACCGGCACGGCTCACAGACCAACGCGGCATACCAGCACATCCGACCAGCCGTGTTTTTTCGGCTCTCGTCGAAGCATTCCGTCAGGGTTCATAGACACAGAAACGCTTCCTGTTTTTGTCTGGCCCGGTTTCTGAACGATGGCCGTTTCGCTTGAGACATTTTCAGCAAACTCGGCCACAGAGGGGACTCCGAATCGACATCGTGTTAGAATCGCTCCGAGAGGCTTTCGAGCGGCCCGAAGGAGGCCCCAAAGACGCCATAGAGGGCCCCACGAGCGCCCCAAGAGGACCCCAAGAGACCCCCAAGAGCGCTCCAGGAGGCATCCACCAGACAGCTCACAAGAACCCCAAGACGGGCCAAGAGGGCCCCAAGAGACTCCCAGGAACGCCCCAGGAGGCCCCCAAACGGCCCAAGAAAACCCCAAGACGGCCCAAGATGGCGCCGAGACTGCCCAAGAAAGTTCCCAAAGAACCCCACGACGCGTCCAGACAGCCCAAGAGGACCCCAGAAACCCACAAGAGGACCCAAGAGGCCCCCAGGAAGCCCCCAACAGACCCCAAGACAACCCCGCGCGGCGCCAGGACCCCTTAGGGTAGCCCGATAAGGTTACCAGGACCCTCTCCGGATTCAACATCCTTCTTCAATTGCCTCTTACTGTCCTCTGTCCGCATCGTCTCGTCGTCATCTTCCTCCGCATTAATTCTCGTATTCGCCCTCGTTCTCTTCGTTTTCATCTTTGTGTTCCTCGTCATCCTCGTTGTCCTCAGGCTCCTCCTCGCTATCCTCACGTTCTCCACGTCCTCGTCATCGCCTCCTTGTCGCCCTCGCATTCCTTTTCTTCCTTTTTCGCCCAATGAGCCCATTTGGCTAAAGCGGCGCTTCCCGTTTTTGTCCGATCAGGTTTTTCGGTTGTATCAAAGCGAGTGTCCGAAACACAGTCTTGCGGCGCTCGGCCCTTAATTGCAACGTGCGCGCTCGAGGGGGACCAATCACGAGAGAGCAGACATTGCATGGAACGGTGATCCTTGCTTTCAAAACGTGTTCGTCAGTAGTCCTCCTCCCTCCCTTTCCCTCTGGGCGCTCTAGTGTTTGGCAGCGCGCGGTGCCGTCCGGTTCGTTATCATACAAGTGCTGTTCTGGCTTCTGCCGATCGCGCGCCATACGCGCGTTCTTTCGATCGTCAACGGCGCTGTTGGCGCTTGTATTCCCCCTCCTACGTACTCCTCCTCCTCCTCCTCCTCCTCCTCCTCCTCCTCCTCCTCCTCCTCCTCCTCCTCCTCCCCCCCTTCCTCCTCCTCCTCCTCCTCGCCTTCTTCCTCCTCCTTCTCCTCTCCTCCCCCTCTTCCTCCTCCTCCTCCTCTTCCTCCTCCTTCTCCTCTCCTCCCCCTCTTCCTCCTCCTTCTCCTCCTCCTCCTCCTCCTCTTGCCCCGAGCTGCGTACTTGCAGCAGAGTGTCCGGCCGTTGTTCGCTGTCGTGTGGCAATCGGCGGCTTGCCAGTGGGGCTATCAGTGTGCACGTTTGTCCCCGGCACTGCACATCACACAAAAGGCAGGACCTCCTTTCAGGCGTTGGCCCTGCATCGGGGGCGGCAAAGAGGGGGGTGATGACTAGGGGGGGTGGATATCATGGCGGGGGCCATGATATTTCCCCAGATTTCACGGCGCCTCTTCTTATTTCATTACGTCCCTGGCCCCCCCGCTGGGCCGCGCACATGCCGCCGGCCATGATTTGCACCCCCCCCCTCTTGGACACCCCCCTCTTGGCCGCCCCCGACTGTAGGGTAATCCATCGGTGCCGCCGCAGCTGTTCTTTTCGTCCGGCGCAAGGTCACTCAAGACAGTTGTTTCCTTTTCTTTTGTTTCCCTAGGCGCGCGCCGAGAACATGCTGCTCGAGACTGGTGTCCTCCCTGGATGTCCGCACTGGCGATGTTCGGGTGGACGAGCCGTTTTGACAGTTTTAGCGCCGGCTGGGCCTGCATCCAGAGTGGACAGCTAGGGGGCCACATGCGAACCCTACCCCTACCCCCTACGATTTCGGAGGACGAGGGTGGGGGTCACTTCGCTCGGGAGCTCCCGAGCGAAGTGAACCCCACCCTCCCCCTCCGAAATCGTGGGGGGTAGGGGTAGGGTGCGCATGTGGCCCCCTGACAGCACGAGAGGTCATTGATGCTACCCGCTCCGGCAAAACAGATCGTGTGGAGAGGTTCTGGCGTGCGTCGTGTGCGTTCGGGCCGGAGCGGCTCGGAGGTGGCCCCCCCGCGCTCGGGCGCTTTGGGGTCAGTGGGCGCGTCGCGAGTGGGGCCCAGGGCTACGCGGGTGCATCTTCGGCGTCCCCGATCCAGGGCAGCTTGGGATTTCATTCTCCATGGCAGCTGTCCCTCTCCTCTGTATGCTTCGCCCTATCTGTTCCCAGCGGCGCGTTGACATGATGTGCTCCTCCCTCTGGCCCTCGTCCTCCTCTTCCTCCGCTGCCCGCCCTCTACCTCGTCCCGCCCGTCATCCACAGAGTCTCCCGCCCCCCCCCCCTTCAGGAGGGGAAAAAACACACAGACACAATTCATCGTCGATCGCCCAGAAAGTAGGGGAAACTATGGGACGCGGGGGGGAAGACCAAAAACCCCGAAAATACAGGGAAGATATGCGCAATCTTCTTATTCGTGTGTATTTGTTTGTGTGTCCTGGGGCCCCTTGTGTATCTTCTTGTGTAGATCTGTGTGTATTTGCTTGTGTGTATTTGTTTGTGTGTATCTATTTGTGTACCCATCCCTCTGCGGCGCCCGCCAGGGCGACGCCGGGCTCCGCGGGGCCGAGGCGGGGAGCCTCACCAGCCTGTGAGCTGCAACGGGCCGCTCGGGCCGCGGGCCCGCCCGCCCGGCCCGTCGCCGCCGCCTCCGCGGGGCAGCTCGGACGGCAGCGGGAACGGCGACGTGAGGGTTACGATATTTGCTGCATGCAGCTGTTTTCGGCCTCGCCGAGGGGCCTATTCCTCGATGCACAGCCGCCTCCGGCGCCGGGAGGCGCCGGGAAAATCAGCTACGTGCGCTGATTCTCAAACCCGCGCGCAGAGGGCTTGGCATCGCTCGGGCGTGTGCATGTTTCCTTCGGCGAGGGCCATCGAGGAGCATCCTTGACCATTTGGCGAGAAAACCGCGCACGCGACCGAACAAAAAACGCAAAAAATATTGACGTCCGAGCGATGGCGAGGAGAGTTTCGACTGGTACGAGGACGGGTGAGGCGAGGAGGATCGGCAGGGCAAAGGAGTAGGGGGAACAAAGAGTGTCATAAGCATAAAAACTCGGAGGTCCGCGCGGGTTTCTCGGATCGGCGCTGGACCCCCCTCCCTGGCGCGCGGAGCGCGCCAGGGGCGGCGCCGGAGGCGCCGCCGTGGGGTCCCAGCGCCGATCCGAGAAATCCGCGCGAACCTCAGAGTTTTTATGTTTATGCCACTTTTTGTTCCCCTAGGGAGGGAAGGAGGAAAAGCATGAAGAGGACACGGAGGAAGATGAGGAGGGCAACGGCGACGAGGATTAGTGTAGACTTTATCCATTCTGTATTTCGGCCACATTTGCGGCGAGGACTGCGACAGTGGCTAAGGTGGCCATGATGATGGTACTGGTGACGATGGACGTGGTAGTAGTCGTGATTTAGTTTATAGCGACTGTGATGAGATTGACGATGCTTACGTATACACTGGCGGTGATGTGTTTGATGACTTCGATGATGGTGGTGATGGGGTTCGTGATGTTGGTGACGGCAATGGTGTTGATGATGGACGGCCCGTGCGGCATCGGTGATGACGAAGACGGTGAGCGTAAGTGCTGTCGGGATCACGGCAAAAGGTGGTGGTGCAGATGTGGAGGAGGAGGAGGAGCAGGCGTGCAGCGACGAGGACGTGACGAGGAGGGGGTGCGCTGACCTGCCCATGGCCCACACCCTCCAGCGGCGGCCACGAGCACAGGCCAAGGTTTCGCGCGTTGGCTCGCCTATTGCAGGTTGGCCCTCGCGTGATTCCCGGTTTGCCTCTTGCTTGCGGTCGGGCACCATTGGCATGTTGGTTTAATGGTGTACATATACATATACATATACATATATATATATATATTCCTTTTCCTATATTTTTATAAGCCCGGGCGGGGGGAAAACCCGTCCCCCCCCCCGTAAAACCGGACCCCCGAGATCTGGAGCTTTGGGACCTTCCGGACGGGCCTCGAAGCGGCCCCTGGACCTCGCAGGGCGTTTTGCCAAGCCTTCGCAGCACACCCAGGGCGATCAGGGAGGTCACCGGAGACGTCCCAAAGACCCCCAAGACAGCACAAGAGCGCTCCAAGAAGCCGTCATACCCCGAAAGATCGCTCCAAAACTTACCAAGAGGCCTCCAAGAGCACCCCCAAGAAGGCCCCCCAAGGGAAAAATCATTGATTATATGTATGTATGTATATATATATATATATATATATATATATATATCGGTTTTTGGTGCATTTGGGGTTCTCCTCTTTTCGGCTTCCCGATGCTCCAAGACGGCGGTCTCCTAGGCGTCCGAAGCCGCCTGGGATGCTCCAAAATCGCCCCACAACCATCCGAAATGGCTTCCAGGCAGTCCAAGAGAGCCCCAAAACGGCACAACAGGACTCCAAAATGGCCCTAAGAGAGCACCATGGCGGCCCAAGATGGCCCCAAGACACCCTCCGAAGCATTCCAAATCGTGACTGGGGCGTTCAGGGAGACCGCGGTTGGAGGCAGGTTGGCCTTAGGAAATCCCATGGCCCCCAGAACACACCCAGGAGGCCTCCAAAA